CTCTCTCTCTGTGTCTCTCTCTCTCTGTCTCTCTCTCTCTCTGTCTCTCTCTCTCTCTTTGTCTCTCTCTCTGTGTGTCTCTCTGTGTGTTAAATATTATGCTATATTAAATATTGAAATATTTAAAATAATATAAAATAGACCCGCTAATAATACCTAATTAATTAAACCTCCACTATTGGTAGTGGTTTGTGTGGTTGTTCTTTTCTGTGTCTATCAATCAATGTCTTCTTTTGATCTTCAAGAGTATCCACCAGGAGAGGAGGAGTGTATCCAACTTTAATCTCAATATATTCAAGTGATGGATGGATGAAGATAGTTTCATATAAATGTTGTACTAGTTCTATCCAGTTAGGTTGAGATGACTCATAATTAATATCATTACACTCTATCCTCAGTAGTCTGATGGTTGTATGTGACTGTAACATGTTAGTAACAGCAGGTAGTACCTGTTCATAAAACAATGGTGTCATTATTTGTTTCTTCTCTTCCTCACTACAGATACTGTATGACTGATCTGGTTTGAAGTTCACTTCAAGTTCTGTGAGGTTGTTCTTTTGAGAGATGAAATTAATAAAAGTTCTTATCTCTTCATTCAGTGGAATGGATACACTCAACTGCTGTAGACTGGTGTTGTGTCTGTGACCAGTTGTTAGGAAGGACAGGAATGAACTGGGAATGGGAATGTCACTATCCCATTCATTATTAATCTTAAGGTATTTCAATGTTTGGTTTTGTGTTAACATGTCTTGTAGACTAGTACCCATACTGCTGGTATATACTCTCTCCTCCCATATCTTCACACTCAGAGCTTTAAGTGTAGTATTGGTTTGTAGAATAGTAAATAGTTCAATAGCACTCTCAGCTGTGTCTAGTGGTAAAGTAAGTGTATGTAGACTGGGATGAGAGAGAAATAGAAGATGTGGTGGGTATGGATCACATAGTATCAGACACTGTAATCCTTTGATATGTGGAAGGAGTGATGATGTCATCAGTTTATTACTCCTCCATCCTCTTATCTCTAGAGCAGTCAGTGGTGTGTTCACCTCTACTATATTCAGTGATGATGGTAGGTGTTTATCAGGTATGGTCAGTGAAAGAGCTTGTAATGTGTTGTTGTCCTTTAGTAACTGCTCTATTACTCCATCAGGTAGAGGAGGAGGAGGAGCGTCATTAATATTAACATCCATTGTTAATGATGTTATTGTTTTATTTCTTGTTACTCCTCTAATGACACTGATAATGGTACTTGTTATTATTTCATTGCGTCTATCATACAGATAGTTCATTTCTTGTAGTGTTGAATTCATTTCTATACATTTCTCAAGTTCAGTGCACTTGTCTGTGTAGTATGTATTGTCAACTGTTGGTACAGTTGACATTATTAACATTATTAAGTGCAGTATCTTCAATTGAGGAAGATTGAGGAACTGTAACAATACAAGACAGGAAACATATTGACCTTCTAATAATGTACAGTAGCACTCCTGAATATTGTATAGAAGTGATGATTGTAATAATTTGTGTATTAATTCATCAGTGGGTTTATCCAACCATACCTCCAGTCCCTTACACTGGGTCTGTAGTGAGTTATTGGTTAGTCCAGCAGTGAAGACTGATAGTTCCTGGTTAGATACATCCCACAGGTCCAAGTGATTCCATGTTGTGTTGGAATTGTTTATACAATAACTGAGACACAACCAGTCAAACAATGATAATGATACTGTTCTATTCAGACACAGTGAGTGGTTGTTGATGGATTGTGCTAATACTTGACATAATGTTGTGTTCTGTGATTCATACAGGAGTTGAAGAAGAAGAATGGGAACATTGTCAAAATCATCAGAACTGATATGATCAACTATTCTAAATCTATTCTCAGGATTCTGATAGAAGCAGGAGAGATGACAAGTCGTAAATCCAAACAATGGTTTCCTCTTACACTGTAAGTCAAGTTGTTGTTTATTAAAATACTGTTGATAGCTCTCATGTTCAAGGTGAGTTAGACCTGCCACAAACCTCAGACACATTCGAAAGTGATCATCATCAAAGTGATCCTTAAACACTTCCTCTCTCTTCTTCTCATGCTTAGCTATCCACCATGCAGCTAGAAATTCCTGTATACTCAAGTGAAGGAACTGATACTTCTCCTCATCATATTCTGTGAATCTTGTCATCAATCCAAGATAGTCTTCCTTGACTGCCTCACTCAGTGACTGTAGTTGATGTGAAGAGAATGTCATTGTTGTATTAGCCAGGTTAGTATAAGCTAATTGACACATCTCTTGTAAAGGTTTAGCTAATTGTGATGGTAATGAAGAAAGACTACCTAAAGTATGTGGGTTAATGTCATGTCTTTTAACATGTCTTCTGATAGTTTGTAGGATAAAGTTCTGATAGAGTTGAGTGAGTGTTGTTGGTAAGTGTCCTCCTTGCTTACA